TTCTTAGATAATGAATATTCATGAAATGTACATAAAACAGTTTGCTTAATGATGCTTTAAAACATTATAAATATACGATAATTTTCTTCCTAAGCACGATACTGCACTGATGGTAATAAACTATTGTTTCCAATACTAACTGTCTAGCTTACCAGTAAAAAGAACTTTGCATATTAGGTTTATGAAATTTATACCCATCAAATCTTATTAATCTCAATGATCTCACAATACAAAATGCTTGAATATCTACATAATTGGTAAAAAAACATTCACTAATTCACTGCATCCATAGGACCCTTTCCTATATACATTATGTTTATATTTTGGAATTCATTAATTAATATAATATACAAGTGTATTACATAGACTCAAAATCATATTGGTAATAACTTAAAATGAATTAAATTTGACAGATTTTAAATTAAAGCTTCATACAATAAAATAACGGATATTTAGTTTGTATTATACAATATATAATTATAATATAAAACAACAAAATTCAGCTATGAAAGATTTGAAACGAAAACTGCTAAACCCTATGTCATACATGTGTAACATGGATACATTCAGAAACAAAATTTTTGTTCGGAAAGTTTGGATAATGTTATTGGACCTTATCTACTAATGAGGCGGCAATTAACATGTCATCAAACCCACTGATTGTTTATAATCATTGGCATAGATATTGCTAGACAAAGAGAGCAGCCTTCCATGGGGTCAGACATCATTAGTTTCCCTTACTGGCAATTGGTGCCATAATATGTCATTATTTACGGCATTATTTATGGTCAATGAGCCATAAAATTGATTTCTATTAATGATTAAATACAGCGTATATTTAGTTTATTGTAGTGGTTCTTCAGGTTATAAGTTATAGCTTGTGTAATTTTCTGAAAAAATTAGTTCCTTGTTATAAAAAAGTTTAAACTCCATTTTCTGTTCCCTCTGATTATCCATGCTGTTATAAAAAAGTTTAAACTCCATTTTCTGTTCCCTCTGATTATCCATGCTGGATAACCTAAAGGGGAGTTCTAGGCCTTTAGCCACCAGTATAGAGCCAGGCCAGCCTGTAAATCCATGCAGTCTGACCAGTCTCAGACTATACAGTTGGCTGACCATTATATTTATAACTTAAAATTACATCTTGATATCCCGGGAATTGATAATGAACTGTTCCTTATTGAAATTTGGTCAAGCCCATTCAGAAAATTCAGTAAAGTAAGAGTATTGATTTTCATCCATAATTTAAATGTCTGCAAACAATTTTTCGTTTTTCTAATTTTTCCTTAATTTTCTATTGCAAATTCAAAGTAGTTTTAACAGGATAGGAAATCATGAGGAATGTGAATCAACATAAAATAACTTTAAAGCATTTCCGTCATTTTAACTGTGTGACATCACAGCTTCCCTGAGATATACCTCTATGACATAACTATCATCTTTTATATGATGTCACATCAACAAAGCTAAACTGTAAATGCTAGTAAATGACTTTCAAATCAGAGATAGAAAGTGGTGTCAACATGCTACACCCTGTCGGGGAGGGGGGAGGGGGGTCTATCAAATCCTTCAAGTGTAACAGGAAGTATTAAACCATGCAAGTGAAATTCTTTATCAGTATTGTAAATTAAACACTTGACACACAAACATTCACTATATTTTCTATTTCAAACTAATTGTACTAATATTCAAGTGACATTTTATATTGATATGCCTAGTATGAAAGCATACAGTATAATTACCAAATAACTTATTGTAAGTCTGCAGCATGTAAAACCAAAATAACTTATGGTAAGTGCATGATTGAATAGTAATTCAAACCCATTTTGTCCCATGGGATAAACGATGGCTGCAAATCTGCCACTCAAAGGCAAACCCTCAGCAGTCATTTTATATTTTCTAAACACAAATATATCATCAATGATTGGTCAATTACAATAGTCAATCTTTAATAACATATATAGAAGCTAATTCGGAGTTCAACTTGACAGCAAAGTATAAGCATAATGTCACTTAATTGCAATATCTGATAGAAAAACAAAACCTATGGTAAACTTCTTTCTTAAACCAGAGATAAGTTTCAGAGCCGTACCGGGTAGTCTTTTGTTTGTAAAATCATTTTCATTGGATAATCATGACGTTTATATAAACATATATCATTAATCTCTTTTAGAATGCATGGACACAACAAATCTCTTAGGCAAGAACATGATTTTGGCATATTTAAATATGACCTTGAGTCCCAAATGACCTTGACCTTCAAGATCAAACTTTCAATTTATCCAAACAATTTTTAGTGTCAACAAATGTATATTAACTGACTTATTTAAGGACATAACTAAACTTTGCCTGGCTATCAAGATAGGATTACCAATATAAGTATATCCTTGACCAAGAATGATTCTAGATCTTTAACCTAGTTCAAGGTCAAATTCTTGAAATTTGCCAGCGTGTATACATGTACATTTGTCTTGAATTATTTTCTTTTCCCCAATAATGAACATCTAATTATATTGTTCCTATAAATATGGACATAGCAAAATGTGTGTTTGACAAGTACATTATTTTCTTTCATGCTTCTTATTATCTTTTATGCAAAACTTTTTAAAAAGAAAAAAAAATCAGAACTTTGATAAACTGTATGTATACATTGTAAATTACTTAAAAACGAATATTTTTCCATGCAAGGTTTGATACATGCTATAAAAATTCACTAAATATATCATTATCATGGTTAATGACTGCACTGTATGATGTAAAATTTGATAAAAGGGTATATAATAACTGTAAAACGGTCGCTAAACAAGCGCTGTAATATATCGAGCGATACAAAATTGAACGCTTAGAAAACTAAATCCTGGTTTATCGCAACCTGATGTATTTGAACACTTTAAAATGATTTTAATAAAGGCTTACAATATTCTCGCATGATAACGTTTTTCTTTCGACTAGATAATCAATATCCATAAAGCATGGCGACATAGGCATGCATGAATAAATCAAAAGATTTTCTACTTCAATTGAGAAGATATCCTCAAGTAGATTACCCTAGTGCATGACTGTCTCTCACGAGAATTATAAATGATATTCTTTTTCTTCATATACGGAGATACAAAGAAAGTTGTCGTAACAATATGGGTTTACGTTATACATTTACATTCTATTCAATGCATGCATGGTTTGAAGACAACTAAATAAAATAGAAACCCTGATAAGAAAATTAAGGTGTTAACAATGACTTTGAACTTCTCTATTGATTTTACAATAACTTACAGGTATAATACAAGACTAGTGGTTTCTTTCACTACATTTTTTTTTTTCATTTTCATGCATGTCTAAAATTCACTCTTTCTACTGGTACAGTCAAACCATACCTAAATGGCCACTTCTGATATAAAGGGGAAGTATCCAAATCTAACACTTACTTAAGACTGGCATTTTACTTTTCCATTTGAATATTTTATCAGCTAGCTAGTGGAACAGTTGAGATAGAGTCAAAGGCTTTTCAGCGTTGGTTACACGTTACCTTATGATCGACCTGGGGTCATTTTTAGCCTCTCACAAGTCCAAAATTTTCTTGGATATGAGGGGGACTACCGCCCCCCTTCAAAGCCCCAAACAGAAGGGGGCACATCCCCCTTCTGGCAATCCCCTGATATATCTTTTGGATGGGGGGCAGCGCTGAAAAAGTGCTCACTTTTTTTAGTAACATTTCTCAAACGAAAACATGTGTTTGGGGCCCAAATAGGACATTTTTTCACTATTTGAGGCCTAAAAGAGGGTGGGTCGAAAGTGCGTTGTTTCGCGTATATATGAGGTAAAGGATTAATACCTGCATTTCATATCCCATTAATATATTTAAACATGTAATTCTCTTGACATAAACCCGGGTTTTATGAGTATTGCCCAGCCCAACGGGTAATACTGGGAAAACCCGGGGTTTTCTGGGTAATACTGGGCATTTCTGGGTAATAGAAATTTCAATATAGCAAATACTTTTTATATTATGTTTTGAATGTATAGTGCATTTAGAGATGCATTTTCTTTACAAAGAAAGGTGTTAATTACAAGTAACTTGAAGTGATAATTATTTGAATAGGGAACAATATACCTTACAGTTACTTAGAGAACCTATAATGATTTTTTATAATAATACCAGCTAAAAACCTAACATATTCATATGACAACCTTTATAACAGGACGTTATAATACCTCCCTTTAACTGTTTAACAGGATACATGTATATCTGCTCCTGTGTAACAGGATGAACAGAAATTTCAAGTTAAATTTTAACTGGTGCTAAGGGGCAAATAAAATAGTTTGCAACATATCTTATTCAATTTTGCAGTTTTGGGTGTTCTTTAAGGATTCCTTTTTTTCTCTTTTTTATCTTTTAACATTTCTATTGTTGTAATTCCCCCTCCAACCAAATTAAAGACCACCTCTCTTAAAGGGTAACTCCTACTTAAAACCTAACACTTCAGACATCATTTATTCCCCTGTTTAAGTGTTGAAGTTCTACCTCTCCAATATTCTTTCATTTAGATATATAACTTATGCCTATCTAATTAACTTCTATCTTAATGTAATGTCATCACTTGTTAAACTTGTTAAATGACATTACATATTGCACCATTATTTCATTTTGTGACATTTAATGCCAGAAATGTAATGCTTCAGCTTATCTATAGTACAACACATTTATTAGTCAGTTATATTAAAACAATAAAAGGGGATTCCCCAGTCTGTAAAAAAAAATTAGATCTATTTTTAGTACACTAAAACCTTCATGTACTCATGTATGAAGTCAAATGAAAATGGTGTGTATTTGTCAATATATTTTCAATACAAAATAATAGACATTTTAAAACTCTATCCAGTTAATTATCAATACCTGTCTAACAATTAATTATAAAATTGTTTACAACTTTCTTCTAAAAGTAAAACGGAAATTAGAGAGAAAACTAAAGTTTTCTAATTAATAAAAAAATAAGTCTTACCATAAATTTCCCTTCCTTTAAGAAATGCAGCGATGCGTGTATTTTTTGCCAGCAGAATCAATAGCATGTACAGAGTCTGGCCGATCTATAATTCAAGCATAACAACCGTACTATGGCTCAATAGTTTTCCCTTATCACTTGAATGACTCCAGCTGTGTTACCGTTAGCTATCAATATCTAGAGGCCATTCACGGGGAAATCCATACTGCAGGAGGGTAACAAAGGGAAATAATCCTGAAAAATATAATTTATGAGGCTAAATGATAATTTTAAGGGAATAATAATATTTAGTAATATTTTTGTACTAGTTTCAGTATATTTTCTTATTTCTAAAGAGTACATAAACGGAGAAAGAGCGTGTAATATTATGGTACAATATTTTAGTGGCTATTTTACATGTATTGAACTAGGGGAGAGAACAATAATTAAATTAAGCATATAAGAGTTGTCTTTCTTGTTTACAAATTGATTAATGATGAAACTATTTATTGAAATTTATGAAAATTTACAAAATATTTGCAAATTTTCAAAAATTCTGAGCTTATGATTAAATAAAAAAACTTCTTAACAAAGTTTATCAAAACTATGAAATTTATATTTTGTATAATATTAAGTTTTTTCTTCAAAACCAGAGGCTATTATGAACAGTTTAATTTTTTTTACCATTTAAACCAATGTAATTTAATTCAATTAGATATATTTCAATTCTATTTTGAATCATCCTGTTTTAACAGAAACAAGGTGATGAAATTACCGGAAACAAAATATATAAAAAATATATACAGTACAAAACAGAGGGAAATTGCCTTGAGCTTCAATAGGTGTGTTTTATTCATTAAGCTATTTAATCAAGCCATTATTTCAGGCTCGTCTACCAGTTACGGTCAGTGCACGATTTCTTAATAAATCTTGCATCTGTACAAAAATCTGATTAGACAGGGGGGTTTCATCCAAGCTTATACATCACTTAGCCTATTACAGACTGCGAAAATCCGTTCGCTCATCCAGGCTTGAAGGAACGCTCACTGTAGCGAGAATTCAAAATGAGGGATATACTGTTATCGTACATATGGTGAATAAATTTATGCATGGTAGCGAAACATAATTCACCGATCTAACGGAAAAACATCTTACCTAACGGCACATAGCTAGCTGATGCATGACCGCTTAACTGTTTGAACGTGTGTGAAATGAATCAAGATTTGGGACTTATGTTTTTGACTGGATCTGATAAGGTAGAATAATGCTTCAGACTGGTAGTCAAGTGTTTCAGCCAGTAATGCGTGCAGTTTTATACTGATAATGATAAATCACCTACTTTACATTGTTTTAAAGGAGCTCCACTGAGGTCCAAAAGGCTTAAAGGCACATTATGCCTCAGAAACAAATAATTTTTTACTTCTTTAGAAAGAGCAAACATGAATTACATAATATTTAAAGAATGGTCCTAGAGAAATGTTAGATGCTTGTTACCTTAACATAGCTGCAATTAATGTGAAATAATTTGTCATAAAAGTGGCAAAATGTAAGCAAAGTAGTAATTTGACTTCCACACAAAATACAACTTCACTATAACTGTACTTATTGCCAAAAGCAACAGATGAAAAAGATGGTTCCGATAAATGGCCAAAGAGTAACTTTTTGCACTGTAAAAGTGCACCAAAATTAAAAAAGCTTTTGAGAAATAAAAGTAAAAGCATTTCTTAGACAAAAATGGGCCTTTAAAGCAATGAAATTTGAAATTTATATAAAGATCAACTAGGGCTCTTACAAAGGAAAAAAGGTAATAAAGAAAATATTCAGATTTGATTTAAACATCAATTTTGTGTGATTCTCAGCCCATTATACTTGTGTTTAAACATTTTTCATTTTTGGGTCATTTTGTGCAATAGAAATTATCGCATTCTGGAAAAAACAAAACTTTAAAAAAAGCAGTACACTTAAATCTATTTTTTTTTAATATTTTTTTTTAAAATCCAGTCCTGTTGTATCAAAAATTCTCAGCAGTGCCTTTTTTAGGATCCAATGAAATAACCATCTTATAATTATAATCATTACATCTTCTTTTTTCCCCCCAATCATATTCTTAATGTATAGGTCATTTAGCTTGACAATATTCGTAAAGTGGCAAAATTTATTGTTTAGACATTTCAGACCTATATATGCTTAATTTAGTCTGCTATTTAAGGTGACTTGGGGCCGGGTGATGATTTATTTTATTTTGTAAAAATATGTTTATATTGTATGCTGTAACACATGTCATTATAATAAACAATTTATCTGTCTACATTTTCATCTCTTGAAAGTATTTTATGATTTTCACTTTTTGTGAAATACTATGAGTCAATCTATATCCACTAAAAAAAACAAACAAATATCCTCTGTAAAGCAACTTTGTGACAGTTTGACCTTTAACCTGCTGGCAGCAGTTTCTGTCAATATACACATGCTACCAGTGCACACCAAGATCAGCCAGCACATACATGACATCTCGTCATGGTCTGTATCTATTCAAATGTTTTCTACTCAGTCAAAACTTTTTTAAAAATTTCCTTAAAAATAATGATTGGTTTAGTCTAAACTGAAAGATGAGATACATCCGTTTAAGATATTTAGCATGCAAATGGTTAACATAGATATGCTGTGGAGCAGTGGCCTAGTGGTTAAGGTGTCTGCCTCTCAACCAAGGGATCATGGGTTTGAGCCCTCCTCGGGTCACAGTCATGATTTCTCATATGACACCAGTACTGGTAAGTTCCTGGACACATACTCAAAAGAGATTGATTTAAGTTGCAACTAAAATGTTTCGAAATCCAGATAAAATAAATTCATGTATATGTTTAAACTAAACTAACACTGATATGCTGGATTTTACAGGATTGAATTGAATATGCATGGCTGATTTCAATTTGCAGATAAACTGTAAATAAAATGACTGTTAATGCTAAGAATATATCAGCCAAAAGCCCACCTGATTCAGTGATTCTGCTTTAAGTATCTTCTAATGTAAAAAAAGAATGAATCCAAAGGGAGTACACTTCAAAGACCCTCCCTCATTCTTCTGATAAAAACACTAGTTTATGCATTCTTAAAGTAAGCTCAGCTATGATGCTTTTTTATTTCCTTCAACAGTGTCCAAAAGTTAAAAGTTCCATACAAATGAAACATATTTAAAAATTATTGTTACTAATGAAATTATCCTATCCTGTAAGTTATCAGTATCAAAATGCTTTTGAGAAGAAATGACAACTCTTCACTAAAATTATTCACCATTTTCAACCAATTAAAAGTCAAATATAGCAAGACATAAATTCTGTTATAATAGCAAGATATAAATTTGATCATTATTTAGCATATCAACATATCAAAATATCAAACGCATCATCAAAGCACCAGTGCAAGCAATAAAGCCTAGCATTCCTTAATTATTTACCAGTGCAAGCAGTTTACACAACAATTACTTTCCTATCCTCTACTGATGCAAGCAATTATGACGCTTGTCTTTTCTGCACTGGTGCAAGCAATTAATGCAACAATACTAGCTTTTCTGTACTGGTGCAAGCGATTAAGGCAACAATATTTGTCTTTTCTGTACTGGTGCAAGCAATTAAGGCAACAATACTTGTCTTTTCTGTACTGGTGCAAGCAATTAAGGCAACAATACTCTTTTCTGTACTGGTGCAAGCGATTAAGGCAACAATATTTGTCTTTTCTGTACTGGTGCAAGCAATTAAGGCAACAATACTTGTCTTTTCTGTACTGGTGCAAGCAATTAAGGCAACAGTACTTGTCTTATCTATACTGGTACTAACAATTAAGGCAACAATACTTTTTTTTCTGTACTGGTGCAAGCAATAATACTTGTCTTTTCTGTACTGGTGCAAACAATTAAGCAACAATACTTGCCTTATCTGTACTTGTGCAAACAATTAAAGCAATCACTTCTTAATTATTCATCATTTCAAGCCATTAAGCCTATTATTTCTGTATAATTACCAGTTGCAAGCAATTTACAGAACAAATACTTGATTATTCTGTACTGGTGCAAGAAATATAACTATTCCTTTACCCTTAACAGGTAAACAGTGCAGAATTATCCTTAGACAGCACAGATGTGTAAGCAAATCTGGGTTTGAACTGGTTGATTGGGTGTATATTTAAAAGCCACCAGCAAGCTGAGGAATAATCATGTATCAGTGCAAGCAAATTACCAAACCAATACTTGTTTCTCTATCTTTTACCAGTGCAAGCAATTTACCAAATCAATACTCATGTATCTAGTACCAGTGTAAGCAATTTACATAACCAATACTCATGTATCCTGTACCAGTGTAAGTAATTTACACCAATACTCATGTATCTGTACCAGTGTAAGCAATTTACATAACCAATACTCATGTATCCTGTATCAGTGTGAGCAATTTACATAACCATTAATGATGTGTATCCTGTACCAGTGTAAGCAATTTACATAACCAATACTCATGTATCTAGTACAAGTGTAAGCAATTTACATAACCAATACTCATGTATCCTGTACCAGTGGTAAGCAATTTACATAACCCAATACTCATGTATCTTGTACCAGTGTAAGCAATTTACATAACCAATACTCATGTATCCTGTAACAGTGTAAGTAATTTACACCAATACTCATGTATCTGTACCAGTGTAAGCAATTTACATAACCAATACTCATGTATCCTGTATCAGTGTGAGCAATTTACATAACCATTAATGATGTGTATCCTGTACCAGTGTAAGCAATTTACATAACCAATACTCATGTATCTAGTACAAGTGTAAGCAATTTACATAACCAATACTCATGTATCCTGTACCAGTGTAAGCAATTTACATAACCAATACTCATGTATCCTGTACCAGTTGTAAGCAATTTACATAACCAATACTCATGTATCCTGTACCAGTGTAAGCAATTTTCATAACCAATACTCATGTTTCATGTACCAGTGTGAGCAATTTACATAACCAATACTCATGTATCATGTAGCAGTGTAAGCAATTTACATAACCAATAGTCATGTATCCTGTACCAGTGTAAGCAATTTACATAATTAATACTCATGTATCCTGTACCAGTGTAAGCAATTTACATAACCAATACTCACGAATCCTTTACAGGTGTAAGCAAATCATATAAGCAACACTCATGTTTCTAGGACCAGTGTAAGCAATTTACATAACCAATAGTCATGAATCCTTTAAAAGTGTAAGCAATTTACATAACCAATACTCATGTATCCTGTACCAGTGCAAGCAATTTACATAACCAATAGTCATGTATCCTGTACCAGTGTAAGCAATTTACATAACCAATACTCATGTATCCTGTACCAGTGTAAGCAATTTACATAACCAATACTCATGTATCCTGTACCAGTGTAAGCAATTTACATAACCAATACTCATGTATCCTGTACCAGTGTAAGCAATTTACATAACCAATACTCATGTATCATGTACCAGTGTAAGCAATTTACATAACCAATACTCATGTATCCTGTACCAGTGTAAGCAATTTACATAACCAATACTCATGTATGCTGTACCAGTGTTAGCAATTTACATAACCAATACTCATGTATCCTGTACTAGTGTTAGCAATTTACATAACCAATACTCATGTAACTATGCTGTACCAGTGTTAGCAATTTACATAACCAATACTCATGTATCCTGTACCAGTGTAAGCAATTTACATAACCAATACTCATGTATCCTGTACCAGTGTAAGCAATTTACATAACCAATACTCATGTATCCTGTACCAGTGTAAGCAATTTACATAACCAATACTCATGTATGCTGTACCAGTGTTAGCAATTTACATAACCAATACTCATGTATCCTGTACTTGCTCAGTGCAAGCAATTTACATAACCAATACTCTCATATGTATTTTGTTACTAATGCAAGCAATTCAAGCATATCCAATATTAATCAATATTTCTTGACCATGCTCATGCGCAAGCATTTTATTTAAAAAAAATTATACCATACATTTAAATGAGCCAAATAATTCTTTATCAATGAAGCCAAATAAACATAAGTAATTTATCATTATATTGAAGTAAACCATTAATTTTCTTTTTCCATTTGTTCTTATAGAGCTAATACCTAGTGAAACTATATTATAAATGTACATGCATTTCAAAAGAAAAAAATTATAAGAATAATAAAAACATTGAACTTACATTAAGCATAATCCATAAAAAAAATCATTAGAATTGTGAACAGTTAAAACTGTCAACCAATAACTGGTACAATGAATTATCAGAAAACTATAATATTTTCGATAATACCAATTTGAAAAGTTGTCCTGGAATACATTACAGCTTGCATACTAAAACATTAATATTGAACTATCTATAGAAATTCACTGCAGCATGATAAAATGCTATTGAACTATCTACTGGAAACCATGTCAGGTACACCTGAGACATAGTCTAAGTAATTACCTGTCGACAAACCTTTCTGTTGCCACGGTAACCACTCAAACTTCTGCAATCATCAATTTTCTCAGATAAATTGTTCCACACAGTAGGTTTCCCCACTGAATGCATGGCTGATATTTTGTGACAAAATCAATGAGGCAGAATAGCTTGGCAGCAACGCTATCCTAGTTTCTGTTTATTACGAGCAGGTGAATATACGGCTGGTATTATTATAAGAAACAAACCTCAGGTGAATGTTATGCTATGCTAAAAGCAAACTAGATGTACTTATGCTAAATAAGTAACAAAGCAAGACTACTTATACTTAAACAGAATTAAAGCTGAGATATTCATACTAAAATGCTAAAATAAAAAACGAAACTCTAGAAACTTATGCTAGATTAGAAAAAAACTGTCTACTTATGCTAAATTAAAACCAAACAGTGGCTACTAATGTGCTAAAAAAAACACACTGAATACTTATCATCTTCTTATGCTAATGTAAGAACACTACTTATGCCAATATAACCAAAAACGCAGGCTACTTATTCTAAAATAAAAACAAACACTGGCTTAAATTATGCTAAAATTAAACAAAAAAACACTGTCTACTTATGTTTATATAAAAACTAACACTGCTTATGCTAAAATAAATGTAAACAGTGGCTACTTATGCTAAAATATACAAACCCACTGGTTACTTATTCTAAAATATATACAAACACTGGTTACATATGATAAAACAAAAAGAAACGCTGTCTACTAATGCTTATATAAAAAATAACACAATTTATGCTTAAATAAACACAAACACTGGCTACATATGCTAAAATAAAACCAATCACTTAATAATGGCTACATAATTATTGAAAAGTAAAACCCACACTGACTAAATAATTACAGTTAAGTAAAACCAAAAAACTAGCTACTAATTTACTAATACTGGCCACTTATTCTAAAATAATCATTCTAGAATATTAACAAACACTGTCTACTTATGTTTGTATAAAAACAAACACTGCTTATGCTAAAATAAATGTAAACACTGGCTACTTATCCTAAATATACAAAAACACTGGTTACTTATTCTAAAATATACAAAACACTGTCTACTAATGCTAATATAAAAAACAAACACAACTTTTGCTTAAATAAACACAAACATAATGGCTACATATGGAAAAGTAAAACCAACACTGGCAACATAATTATAGTTAAGTAAAACCAAAAACTAGCTACTAATTTACAAACAGTGTCTGGCTACTTATTCTAAAATATACACAAACACAATGGCTACTTATTCTAAAATATACAAACACAATGGCTACTTATTCTAAAATATACAAACACAATGGCTACTTATTCTAAAATATACAAACACACTGGCTACTTATTCTAAAATATACAAACACAATGGCTACTTATTCTAAAATATACACAAACACTGGCTACTTATGCTAAAGTATACACAAACACTGGCTAACTTATTCTAAAATATACACAAACACTGGCTACTTCTGCTAAAATATACACAAACACTGGCTACTTATGCTAAAGTATACACAAACATTGGCTATTTATTCTAAAATATAAACAAACACTGGCTACTTATTCTAAGATATCCTGGCTACTTATTCTAAAAATTTTATACAAACAAACAGTCTTCTTATGCTAAAATATATTAAACAAACACTCACTACTTATGCTTAAATATACATGTATTAACAAAAAATGGCCTCTTATTCTAAAATATAAACAAACACTGGCTACTTAAAGTAAAAATTAAAAAAAAGTCAAATCAATTTGCAGACACTAGCTTTTCCCAATAATCAAATGATAAGATAAATTTCCGCTTAAATCTCATAAGAATGTGAGAACACATTATATTGAAGACAGGCTGATTATCTGCCTATTATAAGCTAACAAAAACTGTTGTTGGTATTGTACTCAAATTAAAAAAAAAAACATGTTAATATTGTACTCAAATGTACAAAAACTTTTTATATTGTACTCAAATGTACAAAAACTTTTATATGGTACTGAAATTTACAAAAACTTTTTATATTGAACTGAAATTTACAAAACCTTTTTAAATTGTACTGAAATTAACAAAACCTTTTTATATTGTACTGAAATTTACAAAACCTTTTTATATTGTACTCAAATTTACAAACACTTTCATAATTTGTACTCAAATTTTACAATAACTGACATGTAATTTGTTGATATAATTTGAACTCATATTTACAAAAGTGGTTAAATGGCTGTACTTGGCCTGTACACTTAAAGGTCACCTAAGGTCTCCCTTCACAAATTTAGAATTATGACATTACCAATAAACTAAGATTTAGTACTAATTTGCTAATCACATAAAAATATATTTTCAACATGTACTTAATATAGGATTTCTGAAACAGTCACCAATAAAATTTCTTTCGTTAACAGGTATTTAAACAAATAAAAATGTCGTCAATTAACCTACAGTAAAATATACATGATGTTTGTAAAATTAATACATTTCTTGTTAAAAAAAATTATGTTCGTTAAAACAGCAAAGTAACTGTTGTTTTATAGGGCATTTAATATCTTTTAAAACAATGTATCAACTCATGCATGACACAGTTATACAAAATGCGGTGAAACGAAAACTCCCACACATAAAATCCACAACAAAGTACATACCAAGATATTTCTATTTATATATACCAGAGTAAAATTCCACATAATCTTGTTTTAATACAGCTTTTCCTTTGCACTGATTCTATTTACCAGATATTCATGTAATCAACATAAAACCAGTCTATGTCAGTGAAGTGTAGAGAGAAATTCTGTGAACCAGTCAAATCCAATCACCGTGGTAACCCAAGCAGAAGCTGCTCTGCTATGGTTTCTGCCAAATCTTTATGCCTGAAGAGATTTTGTAATTTTCAAGTTACTGGCAGTATGCAATTTTCTTGACAGTAGAAAAGTCGGCCTCGTTCTAAAATGATCAAAAAAGTTTGGTGCCTGAGTTTGCGACATTATATTTCAGTTGTATACTACACGACAGTTTCATGACAAGTGTTACTGGATTCTATACCTGAGTACTGGCCGTATTTTCTCCACAATTAGCTGACAACTTCTCCACTTGACCCACTTCATTCAATCATTGAGTGATTTACAGTTTTAGCAGTCATTACATTCAAAATTTTGATGTGCTGTACACACTCATTCACTGAAGAAGCTCATGAATCCAACATTTTTTAATAAATTATACAGGGCTTGTTCCTTTTGCAAAACAACTCACTTTCATGTTCTCATTTTCATTGCCTTTTTTACAGGATAGAACATTAACCATTGATAATTCTTTTATACATTGCCATTTTTAGACCATTATACAGTAATTGAACTCATTAACATTGCCATTATTTAACTATAATACATTAATTAATTAATGATACTCATTCTACATTGCCATCATTAAACCATTATGCATTAACTAATGATTCTCATAAACACTGCCATTATAACACTATTGTGCATTCCCATTATAACATCATTATCCATAACCTAATAATACTCATAATAAACATTGCCATTATAACACCATTGTACATTATTAATTGGTACTTATAAACATTGCCATTATATTATCATTGTACATAAACTAATGATATTCATATACAATGCCATTCTTTAACCATTGCACATTGTCATTATACAGTATAACTATCTTTATTCATTTGATTTACCAAATGATACTCGTAATAAACATTTCCATTATTACAGCATTAAACATTACTTTACTGATACTCAAAAAAACATTGCCATTGCCATTTTACACCAGAAAACATTACTAAAGGATACTCATTTCCATAATTACACCACTTAACATTACTTAACAGATACTCATGAACATTGCCATTATTACACTATTAAACATTACTTAACTGATACTCATGAACATTGCCATTATTACACTATTAAACATTACTTAACTGATACTCATGTACATTGCCATTATTACACTATTAAACATGACTTAACTGATACTCATGAACATTGCCATTATTACACCATGAAACATGACTAACTGATACTCTAAACATTGCCATTATTACACTATTAAACTTGACTTAACTGATACTCATAAACATTGCCATTAATACACCATTGAACATCACTTAACTAATACTCATAAACATTACTATTATTACACCATTGAACATCACTTAACTGATACTCATAAACATTGCCATTATTACACCATTAAACATGACTTAACTGATACTCATAAACATTGCCATTATTACACCATTAAACATGACTTAACTGATACTCATAAACATTGCCATTATTACACCATTAAACATGACTTAACTGATACTCATAAACATTGCCATTATTACACTATTAAACTTGACTTAACTGATACTCATAAACATTACCATTAAACATGACTTAACTGATACTCATAAACATTGCCGTTATTACACCATTGAACATCACTTTACTGATACTCATAAACATTACCATTATTACACTATTATACATGACTTAACTGATACTCATAAACATTACCATTATTACACCATTGAACATCACTTAACTGATACTCATAAACATTACCATTATTACACCATTGAACAATACTTAACTGATACTCATAAACATTACCATTATTACACCATTAAACATGACTTAACTGATACTCATAAACATGGCCATTATAATACCATCAAACATGACTTAACTGATACTCATAAACATTGCCATTATGATTATTACACCATTGAACATCACTTAACTAATACTCATAAACATTACTATTATTACACCATTGAACATCGCTTTACTGATACTCATAAACATTGCCATTATTACACCATTAAACATGACTAACTGGTTCTCATAAACATTGCCATCATTACACCATTAAACATGACTAACTGGTTCTCATAAACATTGCCATTATTACACCATTAAACATGACTAACTGGTTCTCATAA